CACACACACACACACACACACACACACACACACACATACACTGCCCGCAGACAAAATTGCACGCTTTCAACTGGAGAGCGCTGGAACATTTGTTTACACTCGTATATTATCACGGGCCGTCATGCGCTAACACAAGGTTGCGCCCAAGTCTCGCCCGAACGCGAGATAGGGCAATTGAAACATCTTGGTAGGTGTATACATTTTTGTCATTATATTCCTAATCTAATGAATTGTTGAGTAGCTTAATTGAGAGTTCGTCGTTTTCCCTTACACGGAGCTCTGAGCCAGAGCTCTGTGTAAGGGAAAACGATGAAAGGTAGATCGGTCAAGGATTACTGCTTCGTTTTCCTTGAAGCAGGCCAAAATATTAAATACGTCACTGTCGTCACTGACAAAAACCGGCTTACTTAAACTGACAGTGGATGCTCCGTCTTTATCTAAATGAAGCTTGAGTGCCGTAGCCTCAGCAGTGCCTGTAAACTGCATTCAGGGCGCCGTGAACGTAGCCACTGCGATAAATAAACGAAGTGACTATTTCTCCAAATGCTCGGGAAAACAAACTTGATCTCTTTTTCTTTGAACGGTTTCCGTTCTTGAGATTTTTGGGTTATTTGCGAGATTTAGGCGTCATCTTTCATTCTGCCTCTGCGAGGGCTGGGAAGAGGCAATTTTTGCATCGGATTCAATTTCTAGAGCTAGAGATTTTTAAATGTCTGAATATTCAGATACTTCAATTGTGGTTGGGGCAACGTTCCCGAACTATACTTCATTTGAAAATGCCTTCAAAAGGTACTGCGAGAAAACAAGACTGCTCGGCCTTGGCAGTAGCATATTTTGCATTTAGTCACCCCTAAAGCAAAAACTAAAATCCTTCTTATTAAACAAAAAACAATTCCTCCACGCCCCCCTCGCCCCCATGCCCTGTTCACACCTTACACACACACACACATACACTGACTCTCACACACACACGCACACACTAACACACACACACACATACACTGACTCTCTCACACACACTAACACACACACATACATCCACTGACTTTCACACACACACACACACACACTTACACACACATGCACGCACACTCACTTACACACGCACACACTCTCTCACACACCCACACACTCACATATTAAGTCTAACACACACACACACACACATACGTGCAGGCCACTCCATTTGCAAGTTATCAACAAATCTCGAGAACGGAAACCGTTCGGAGAAATAGGGTTCAGGTTTATTTTCCCGAGCGTTCGGAGAAATAGAGGCGGCCATAAATGAATTGCTATTCTTAAGATGAGCACCTAATCCTGTTTTCCTGGCCAAAGTGCTAGACACTTGAATTTAGAATTCTGACCTGTTACTTGATCTATCTATTGAGTTACGCACCTCATCCACTAGCATTCATGTATTGAACAGTTAGGAGGCTCAGTGTCAGTATGACAGTATTATGGCATGTCTCGCAATTCTCACCCCCCTCAGGTGTGCTAACATACAGTAGGCCTATAGTCTACAGCACAGATGCACACAGAGCAGCACAGAGAATAACTTTTAAATCTATAAGCTGTAAGGTAAGTTTCAGGCTTTATTTTATTAAATGGGCAGGGTGAAGGCCATTTCACACCATGAACAGAAAACAACAGTGAAAAAAACACACACACACTCACAAAAAAACCCGATCTAGATCTAACTAGATCTAGACTAGTAGATCTAGACTAGAAATCTAGTCTAGATCTAGGGCTATGATTATGCAAGGACGAAATGTCAAGAGCAGAACGCAGCTTATACTTACGGGTCCTCACAAATTACAGATCTAGATCTAGCCTAATTTTAAGAACTTAAAGGCTTGCCTCATGCTCACACCGGGGTGGGGGTGAGAATAGCGGTTCATGAACTATTCTCACCAGGAGTGAGAATATAGGTAGCCATTATAAAAAAAGCCAAGTTTGTCCCTAATTCTCAAATGTGTGAAGCCTGACTGGCTGTGGAATTATTTCATACACAGAGTTTTAATTGTTATTTTTTAACTGTAACAGTGTAACATCAGACACAATATCAATAAATAAGAATAAAATGGGTGGTTACGTCTCCCCTCTTTTTTCAAATAATAATGTAGGGCCTACTGGCTTGTATGTGGTATAGATAGAAACGACGCTCAAAGAAGAATTGTAAAGTCATTCAATTCAAGAATGGAAATTACCCCTTTGACTTGCACTTCGTTCATGTTCTGATCCAAGAGCATTCTACTTCTTTCGGCTACATAAAATGTAACTTTGTAACACTTGCAACAAAAACCAAAAAGCCTCAGATATATTGAAGGTAGGCCAGCTGAATATATGTGTCACGGGGTGCTGGAATCGGGCACTGGTCCATTTTGGGACACATATATGATATGGGGTTATTTGTATCATCTTAAAAACCTGTTCATTTGCCTTCCTTCCGGTGCAAAAAATATCCATCTTTGTTGAATGGAAGTCGAAATTTATGCGATTGAAGGAGGCAGGCCCGGGTCTCCTGGTTTCAGGGGTAAAATTAGCGAGAAAATGGCTGCCAAAGTTTAGTATCTTCCATAGCCTGGAATCCCTGGAAACTGACAATTTACATATCTTTTTCTGCCTTTAATTTTAATCAATGTTTTTTTAGTAAAATCCACAAAAAAGATGTGTTTTTAAATGGACAAAAAAGGTGATTAGCCAAAAAGAGAATGTCAGAAAAAAATTGCCCATCGGCAAAAAAAATGCAGATTTCTTTGATTTTGTTATGTTCACGATGATTTCACCACAATGCCTCATATATTACGATGATAAAATTGTGCAAAGACAAAAATGATCCTTTCCCTAGTGGATTAATAATAGAATAGTGTAGTTTTAATGCTATTATTACTTCTATTATGAACCTATCAATTGAATGATTCCTTCCCATAATATTACTGTTACTTTATTACTCATCCCCCATGGAAACTTATGACTCATTGCATGACCTGAAGTTTTTATTTGAAAATCTTTTTGTACTAAAATGATATCATAAGTTCATTTCTGTTTGCAGATGATGAAGACAAGAAGTGGCAAAACTTTATCTGAGAATGGTGAGGGTGTCCCGTTGAAAACAGATAACAACAATGACAAACAGATGAACAGAACATTCTACATCATTTTCTTCTCTCTTATCCTTGACCTGCTGGCATTCACCGTGATTCTACCGCTACTTCCATCATTATTGGAGCATTACAGTCACCATGATGAGGTAATTCTGAAGGTTTTATTTCTTGTTTGTGTGTAACTTATGCATGGCAGTGCTGAGTATGACATTTGACTTTGAAATTCAGTTCAACTGTCATCAGTTTTTAGAACCTGCAGAACAAGACTACATTTTTTATTGGAATATAGTTTACACCTGCAAATTGTATTGTGCATCACCACGGCTTCATCAACTTTACTGAATCTCGCATTTTGCTTTCTATGACTGCGGGGTCATACTTGTATATTTTATAAATATATATATATATATATATATATACTAGGCCCTAGCTGTTAGCCAAATATGTGAGGCATTGGGGTGAAATCAGGTGCTCGTCAAAATAATATAGTGAAAGAATCCAGCATTTTCCTAGTTGTTGGGCAGTTTTGTTTTATTTTCTTTTTTTTTTTTTGGCTCAACATCTTTTAAGTCCATTTAAAAACACATAATTTCTATGTGCATTTTGCAGAAAAAAGTTGATCAAAAGCACAAAAATGTAAATTTGCAGTTTTGGAAGTTGCCAAATTTTGGCAGCCATTTTCTTGCTATTTTTACCTCTGACACGAGGCTACCCCTACCTCCTTCAATCAGAAATATTTTGACTTTTATTCAAGGCAGGGGGATATTTCTTGATCAGAAGCAAGACAAATAAACAAGCTTTAATTAAGATGATATCAATACCTCCATATGCCCCAAAATTGACGAGTGCCTGATTCCTCTGTGGCGTGACACATAATGTATTATAAGGATCAATGATGGGCTGCATAGTCATGTTTTTAAAATTGAGCATGCTGTACACCTTTTTTTTCACAACTCCAAAATGTATGGAGATTACTTCTCTCTTGATGTACAGTGAATGGTTAGATGCAACACATGAGGAAACAGGAGATGATGCAACATACTGCAGAAGATCTATCCTTTCCTTGCATTAACTGTGACTAAAGCAGTCTTTTTCTGTCATGTATAGGCCTCACGAGCACCATTTGGATACTGTCCTTACTGAACTAATAATGTTGACAATGGCAGTTCAAATATTGTCTGTTGAGATGGAAGTGTCTGCAATTGTGAATTTCTACAGTGAAAAGTGAAAATAGAAAATCATACACCCTGTTGTACTGGTTTTTTTAAACTGTATTAATGGTTTAACATTCCTTTGACAACAGCTGTCATGGTGGCAATGATGTTTCAATTGGACTTCATTTTTTAAACTTATAAATTCATGCTGTTCAAATGTAGCGATATTCAATAGCTTTTGTTGTTTTTTTTTGTTTCAGTCTGGACTTTACTCAGCCATAAAAAATAGTGTGTCAAGTTTTCGGAACTTTGTTGGGGCACCAGACACGGCTAGATGGAATTCTGTTTTGTTTGGAGGTAAATGTTTGTGGATCTTACTATGCCATGATCTGTGGTTGTGTGTACTTCTTGATATAATGGTTTTGAGACAGGTCATTTGGTCAGCTTTGTACACTCTTTATGTATGGACAGAAAATCTGTGCTTATATGAACAAATTGTGTCGAAAGAGCTGTGAAACAAATACAGGAACTATTCTAGTTTTGAATGAAAATATGGAGAAGAATTAGAGTGAAGCCTATTATTATTTTGTGTAATGTGCAACAACTTATAAAAAGGAGGTTGATATTTAATATACAGTCCAGCATTATAGATAACGGAACAGCTCAAATTCACGGATAGCTGAAATAATATGCCATTCCCTGACTAAACCACAATATTTTCTTTGCATTGGGAGCACTGTATATTTTATATATATAATATACACACACGCTTACAAATACAAATAAAGTTCACACACCACATACGGTCCAGTGCAACACCACCTTGTCTGTCTTCAGTCACACCCCACAACTCTGTACCCACCTTTACATGACTAGATTCAAGGAAGTCCTAGCATCTTATGCACACTTCAGGTAATGTGGGATGATGTGTCTCTATACCAGTAGTGTGTGTATCATGCTGTGTAGGGGTCAGCCTGATGAGCTATGTATGAAGATGGATGTGTTTGTTTTCCATTGTGTATGCAGGGTAGTTTGAAATCAAGACAATTGTGAGGAAAAATTTGATCCTGCTTTTCAGGATGAACTGTTTGGTACATCTATGCTGGTGATTGAGAATAACATGCTACCGGTGCAAAGAAAATAAAATGGTTCAGTCAGGGAATTACATATTGCTTGAGCTATCCATGAATTTGAGTTTCATGTGTTAGGATTATCTGTGGTCTATTGCATTTTTTTTCTTCTGCATTTGCAATTGTTTTGAATGACTAGCTCTTTGCATTCTTGATGTCGCCATTTAATCCTGGGATTTTATTTTTAAAATGATTTTTCTGTGTTTTGTTTGTTTTTAAATGATTTTTCTGTGTTTTGTTTGTTCCATTTGTTCGCTTTACTTTTAAAGGCTTCAGATCCCATACCTCATGGAAGCTGATTCAGTCTTTAAACTGTTTGTATTCACGATACATATTGATCTATCTGAAGCTTTAGTTTAAGCTGTTTGTTTTCCAAATATATATATATATATATATATATAATATATAGTCTGATCCTTGCATCAAGATATGTGACGGAGAAAGAATTGTGCACAATTGAAGTCTGCCTTAGTTTAGTCTGATGACCATGACATCAAATGGGCCGAGTCTGGTGCTCGGACTTGCGTGCTTATCTTTATTCTTATATTCATGTACAATTTTTTAATTTTCCTTGTTTGTATAATTGGCTGCTTTCCCCTTTGCATCTGCCGTTATAGAGTCATTTATTTGAATTGAACAGTATATACTGGTGGTCACTTCAGCACCACTTTTAAAGGTTGGCTTGTCGAAGATTATTTATTTCCTTTGCTTCAAATTTTTTGCCCTTCGTATTTTTCAGGTCTGATAGGTTCACTGTTCTCGATGTTACAGTTCCTGACTTCACCAATTATAGGAGCAGCATCAGATGTTTACGGAAGAAGACCTTTGATGCTGATCTGCCTGGTATTTGAATTGTTGATATTTATTAGCTAGATGAATGCACTGAATAGCATCTTGTATACATCTTGGTCACAGTAACGCTCATTGAGTTTTTGATGTCATATATCATCTTTGGACCACACTTTTAGCTTTGTTACAATTTGGTATTAAATGGTGTTCGTGTCAAGCCATGTCATGGGACTAATAAGTATCTGAATTAATGGACTTTGTCACTGAGCGTTTGTTCTCTCTGTATGACCAATACTCCTCTGTTTGTATGTAACTTCAGGTGTTGTGTTTTTTTTGGTTTACATATATTGTTTTCACCCATTCCAAATTTATGTGGTAATGGATTTGATGAAGCTCACATGAAAGAACACTTGGTGTTGCTGTTGCTGATAATAAAAATGGTTAATTGAACCACTTTGCAACTCAAGTTTTCCATGACTTGGATAATTATCAAGGGGAAAAGGGGGAGGTTTGTTAGTCTGTCCACTGAAATCTTCAAATTATTTATAGCAGTTTTAAAAGCATGCTCTCAATCAGCTGTTGAATATAGTCATGTAAGGATTTCTTTTTGTTTTGCAGATTTTTTTACATTGAAAAAGGGTTTTTAAACTTTTTTTTCAGATTGGCATCTCTTTTTCCTATGTTCTGTGGGCATTGTCTCAGTCTTTCTTGCTCTTTGTAATTGCGAGAATCTTTGGAGGGATCAGCAAAGGCAATGTCAGCTTGTGCACTGCTATTGTGACGGATGTGTCGACCCCTCAGAAACGTGGAAAGGGAATGGTGAGTAACACAAGAGCTCTGTGTGATGGTCTCTTGACTTGTTCTCTCTGGTCAATATATTTTGCTCTACTTTAATCTTGTTTGTCCTCCCCCCCCCCCCCCCCCAGGTTAGTGCTACTGAGACCGAAATTGTCTTTAGGCCATTTCCAATGGGGGAATATTAACATGTTCATCTGCACAGTAGAATTGTAAATGGGCTGATTTTTCAATATCATGCTCATACTGTACTGGAACAACATAGGGGGAACTACTGCTTTTTCTTTCCTCATCCTTACTATCGTTATTTTACTTTACTTCTTTTGTATGTTTGTCACTCTCTTGTAGACTGCTATTTCCGGGGTGCCTTGATCGTTGAAGCAGACTTTGTGCTGTTGAGGCTAAAGAGGCGAGCTGAGTTAAGCCTGATTTCCCGTTTGGACTTTTCTGTTGACATCAACCCCTTGGCGCTCATATGACCTTATGCAGTTGTGAGCGCTGTAAAACCTTACTGAAACAAAACAATCTCATTTTGGGATTAAGAAAGTCTTTTTTCTTTTTTTTCTTTTCATCTCGTGAGTTTACAAGTGTGTTGATTATAATTTAACTGTGTTTATGTTAACTTTTATGCTTTGATGTCAGTAAATTTGTTCTTTTAGTGAGATGTGCTAATCTGACCGAAGAATAAACTCTTTTGTACATTTTCAGTTTTGACTGAATGTATCATTTTGTAAAGAAGTCAGTAGGTAGCTGGAGGGTGCCTCAGATAGGACCTTCTTCTTTTCTTCTTACTTTTTACCTGCACTAAATTACCATTATTGTATCGATGTGGTTCTATTCTCTTTACTCAAACAAACAAACATAAAGAAGTCAACAAGTGCTTTTTTGCACTAAAAAAACCAGGAAGAAATAGCCGTTCTATTCTGAATTGTTATTGAGGATATGGCAGACAAATATATGAGGAAATTGTTCTTCATCGTATTATTATTAAAAAATGTGATTTAACTGAGTACTTTCTCTTTGTGGTGGTTGGCGGGTGCTCTGGTGTGGTTTGCTTTTTCTTTCCTATCAAACATCTATCGTCCTTATCTCCCCTTCTTCTTTTTTTATGTTTGTTACTCTCTTGTAACACCTCTAATCTTCTGGCGCTCATATGACCTTATGCAGTTGTGAGCGCCGTAAAACCTCTACTAAAACTAAACTAACTTTCTCTTTTCTCAGGCATTGATAGGAATAGCGTTTTCCATTGGATTTGTATTTGGTCCCACTATTGGAGCTGCCTTCTCCCGACTCAACCGGGAAGAAGGGAACAGCGTGTTCTTTGTGATGCCAGCCCTGTTTGCTCTCGTCCTGTCTGTCGCTGATTTTGCCTTCATGTACCTCTATCTGTCGGAGACATTGCCTTCCAACAAACGAGTGAGTTAAAGTGTCAATTGAATGTTTGTTTTTGTGACAAGGGTGTTTAATCTTTTTAATGTTACCGTAACTAGGAGTGAATTTTAATAATGAAATACATTCTCTTAAATTTGAGCGAGTCTTTATTTTAATAGGCACCATAATAAGAATGTTTCTGCTCAGTCAGACAAAAATGATGTGTTCCACAGAGATTTACAGTATTGTTGTATGTAGTTCTCTCTTTCTCTTTTTTTCTTCTTCTTTTTTTTACCCAAATTAAGACATCTTTTTATGGGCGTACTTTCTTTTTCCCAACAGTTATATTTTAGAATTTGATTATGTGTATAATTGCTTTTAAATCAAATATGTAAAAGAAATAAGGACAATTTTAATGTATTCAAATGGTTTCACAATCAATTTCTTCACAGTTGAAGTCCAAACGATTTCTGTCTCAAGCTGCTGAGTACATCAACCCCTTGTCGCTGTTCAGGTTTTCTTCGGTCAGCAAGCTCTCAGCCAATGGTTTGTATACATCTCCAGTGATAAAGATGTTCATTACCTTTAACTTATTCTTTTTACTGGTAGAAGAGAAAAGTCTGAATGATCTTGAGTTTATGAACCCCTACAGCAAAGTTAGGCTTCTTTAAAAGATGTAATTGGTCAACATAAATTTTAGTGTGCTGTTTTATTTATGATAAAACTGTACTGTAATCTTGTTTCCTTTCTTTCCATAGAGTCAACTGCTGTTCAGAGTATTGGATCAATCTACTTCATATATCTGTTCATCTACTCTGGTCTGGAGTTTACTTTGCCTTTCCTCATGCACAATCGTTTTGAGTACACCAGGTCAGCAAAGTGAATTGTTTCCTGTCTGTTTGATATATACTGTTTTACAGTTTACAATGCTTAACAGAAACGCTTAACATTTTTTACCGTATGCTTGCTCTGTGTATGTCATTATTTACAAGTTAGTAAGTTTTGTTTTTTTGTGTTCATTACATTATTATTTGTGTCAGGCTCATTATGATATTTTATTCTCTCTCTATATATATATCTCTTTGAGAGAAATGACATGCGAAATGCATTTTTAGTTTATGTTAAATGGTCATTACAGAATCCAAACTGAAAATAGATGGTCTTATAATTTTATGTCCTTCTCTTTATAAATATTATTTTTAAGTGTCAGAGGTCATCTTGACCTGTATATTGATTTCTTACTTTGTCTTCTTAGAATAAAAACTTCTTCATTTTTTAATTTACCTTTATTTTGTTAGACCTCATAGTTGTGCCTTTGCTTTTTGTTTCATGGCATTGTTCACTTTTATTACTGGTATGTGTGTTTTTTAAACTCTTGTTATAAATCTCTTTGTATAAATTTTCGAGCAAGTCAAGGGTAATTTGTTTTCGAATTTCCTGCATCACTTTTTGGAGTTTCTTCTTTTGTGAATATTGTCAATTTCAGTAGACTTAGTTATGTTAATAGATACTTTTTAGCTTTGTTTTGAGTGTACCCACTAACATGAAATAAGATTTTTTTTTTCTCTTAACATACCTTTGTTTTTGATTCACAGTATGCAACAAGGCAAAATGTTTTTCTTCATCGGTACTGTCATGGCACTTGTCCAAGGTAAATAACATGTTATATATACAACATTTTTAATCAGTCTATGTGAGTTGAAGAATCCTTATACATCACTGAAGTGCTCAAATTGACCTACCCGGGTGGGCTGAAATTCAAGTTTTTTTCTATACTATATATAGATGACGGCTATTACCATGGCTCATCAACCAGCTCTAGGATAGCTAGTCTCTGGGGTATTTTATGCATAAAAATATCATTTTCTTTAAAACTACATATTTACTACGGAATATTTAAACGTACAAACTATATTTATATGGATTCATGGTGAATCTTTTTCATGGAGTTTAGCAAGACAGTAGATCTTTCATGATGTATTATAGACCCTACTCCTTTGTCCAGAAAAGACTTCTGCACGTCCTAAAAAATATTCAATTTTCATGGACACAGGTGGCTACACAAGACGAGTCACCTCTGGCAAAGAGGCCAAAACTGCCATGCGGGTAAGTGGATACACCATAAATGGTGCACAGTCTTTGTTTTCTGGATTTTGGTTTTTGGAAGAAAGGATGCTTTACTTTTTGAGAAATGTGATAGAAAAAAATGTAATATCTTTTTGAGTATGGCAATCTCTGACTCACTTATGCAGGTTAGTTTAATACACATAATTTTATGTTTTCCTGTTGTTAGGTTTTGTTTTGCTTTTTTGCCTTTTGAAATGTACTAGTGGTTGTGAGAAGCAGGCTTTTTCTAATTCACTCTGTTGTGCGTTTTTACCTTAGTTCACTCTGTAGTCTATGTCTGGGTTTAACATTCAGATGCGATTGCAACAATAAAAAGTACAATTGTCACAGATACATCTGTACCAACATAGTCTGAGTGTTTACTGACTGAAATGACGTACTTTTTCTGAGACGTGTTTATTATTGTCTCAGAATTATTTGTCAAATGTGAAGTTGAAATTACTTTTCCAAGCAACAAAAGTAGTTTTCGCAAAAATTACTCTTGCTCATAAATAAAACCACAATATAGATTTCTTGTTTCCCATTTGTTGCTTCAATACATCAAGTGTTATTGAAAGATAATGAGTTTTTAGATTTTTCAAAAAATAAGTAAGGGAATAAAAATAATGCCTAGTGGTGTCTGTAGTCTACCGGACTTACAATCGTGAAATTGTGTTTTTGGGAAAGGCTCTTAACTCAAAATTTCCCAGTTGGCTCTGTCCTTTTTAAGATTAACTTTAAATTCAGAGGTCCCGCCTCTTATTTAACCTCTATACGAACCCTGCAAGGGTTGTTTGATATCTACAATTTCAATGTTTTTTGTTTTTTTAAAAATGCATTGAGCTTTTATGGTAGATTCTTTCTCTATGGCTTATAAACTTTCTTTCAGGTGATAACAGTATCATTACTTAGTAATGATATATTTCATTCTTAGATGGACTTTAATTTACAACCCTTGTATTTTCTTCTGATATGCTCTTATTCTGTTGCAGGGCATCTTAATTCTCATTCCATCCTTTATCTTGATGGCTTTTGTCACCAACACAGTTCTGATGTATACAGCACTCACTTTGTTTTCGTTTGGTAAGTAAATGTATAAATATTACTTTTTCTGAGTTCATTTATTTTATATCATGTTTCTATTACTAAGTCACAGTATGACGGATTCTCATGTATTTGATGAAAATTTAAAACTGAATTCTATAATGATTTATACTGATTAACAATCATTAGATAGGGCTACCACATTAAGAATATATATATATATATATTAAATCCCTTGAAATGGGCCTATTTTCTAAAACAAGATCAGTTTTACTTCTTTTGAAATAGTGTTAATTTTATTTCTAAAAACAAATTTTGTGGACTGATTTTTTCTATTGTCAGTTTTTGATCCCATTGTTTTTATTTAGCTTTGAGTACCTTGAAGTAGGTGGTTGGAGGGTATTACTGGAAGATCCTATTTCTTTACTCTCCCTCTGTTGTCATCTATTTCCAATGGTGAAATGACTGTTATTGTATTTATGTGATTTCTGAACTAAATCTGAGTATCTCTAAATTCCAGATTATTTCTCCTTTTTTATTATCCCTCTGTACAGTCCTGATATCATGAACTTCATGGATTTAGAGAATTTTGTTGGTTTATGCAAATTTCATCTTACGGGAAGTTGGTGTGCCTAGAATATTGAGGAAAATCCAGGGATTTGAAATCCTTTCATTGTAACAAGAAATTTAAGGTAAATGCCTTAGTTTTAAACAAAGTCTATTGTATTATGTTGGTTGTTTAGCATCAGCCACGGTGGTTCCATGCATGACCACCCTCATCTCAACCTACGGTGGCGACGATGAGAAGGGAACCATAATGGGCATCTTCAGGTCTCTGGGTGCTCTGTCCCGTGCTGTTGGCCCGGTCTTGGCTTCCACAGGTTTGTTGTAATAGTTGTTGTAGTTGTTTTTTTTACCTTTACGTGTGTAAGTATCTCAGGGATTGTTAAAGTCCAGTTACTGTGGTGTTGAGAGGGGTAAATTAGACCATTGTTGGAGAGTTTGTGATTTGAATCCCAGAGTAGACCATTGTTTCATGTTTTTACCAGAACTTTGTTGCTTACAATGTGGTGCGTGTATAAAGAAAAAGAGCTCTGCCTTAGTAGTTGCCTTTTTTTTTTTGGTGTGATTTTATGTCCCCATTGACACAATATAGATCCCTTAGGAGGCGGGCTTCAGCCAGCCATGGCTAAAAGGAAAACAATATCTGAGCAGAAAGACCAAGCCACATGATGAAAATTCTTTCCACTCAGGAATCGAGTTCAGGTTTCTTGTATGTGATAGCAGAGCACCTGACCACTTCACTACTGAAATCAGTGCCTATTTTGTGTATTGTAGAACAATAGACTTCAACAAAATAGTGGTAGGTGAATTAGCTTATTATTGGATATTTTGTAGAACATTGACTACAGGAAAACAAGATTATGGTAGATGAGTTAGCTTATGGTCGGGTGTTTGGTGTTGTTTGCTCCATTTACTTTTCTCTCTCTTAATCTCCATACCACCACGCTAGTCAAATGGGGGTGAGCCTACTACTGGGTTGCCCCTTTTTTCTTCTAACTCATATTTCTTTTTTATCATCTTGTGTGGTTTTTTTAAAGCATAAACAACTACAGTCGTGTTGCTACACCAGGCTACATCTCTCTTTTACTCAAACAAATTATAAGAATTTTTAAAAAAATCAATGACTCTTTCTTCTCCCTGGTAGAGGAGCTTGTATTTTCTCTCTTTCAGACAATGTGTTTCCTGCTAGAAGAGGACAATGGTTATTTTTATTGTGTAGTTTGTTTTAATTTCAATATGAGGTTGATGGTAACTGACATGGAATAGTCGTGTCTAACATGTTTCCTCTCTACTGTCTTCACAGTATACTGGTGTTTTGGTGCCCATGTTTGCTACATCATGGGTGCAGTTTTCCTGATTATACCACTGGCTCAGATAGCGAAACAACAGCATTGCAGCAAACCTGAATAGACAGCATAATTGGTTACACGCATGGGTTAATATTAATTTTCCATTTATTTTGAAGAAAATGTAGTGTAATATCATGTCTAGAAAAGACTTTGATGCTTTAAAGGCAGACGTCAATTTATTTTAAGTCAGTTTTGGAGAAAATTTGTTTTTAACACTTTCATGTTGAAGATATCTATGGAGGAATACAGAAAGAAATGTAATAAGATTCATCTGTTGAGTATGATTATGTTTATGACTTTAAAATATAGAGGGTTACTTTTCTATTATTTTGCTATGCTAGATTTGTTCTTGATGGAAGATTTAATTTTTTGTTGCCATTGAGGATGGTTTTACTGTGGCACTAATGCAGAGCTGACATGGCTTGTTTTTTTTGTTTTTTTTGTTTTTTGTTTTTTATCATTTATCATTGAATATTTCAATTTCAAACCATACAGTAAAATGTGATTGATTGTATTTTTACCATATATAATTTGATACATATATATAAGCAAAAACAAAATATATGCAAAGTTGAACTTAGTCATGTAAACAGAATGTAGTAAGTTATTTACACTAGGTAATGATACTATTCAACATTTCACTCAGATGGTAAACTGCTCTGAATACTGAAAAAAGAGAGTTGGCATGAATTGATTTGGGGGGGGGGGGTGTACATGCCCACATGCAACAGACACCTTCTTTGGCTAAACTAATTTATTGGTAATTAATACTTAATATAGATCCATTGTCAAAATACAGGTGCCAATCATGGCCATGAGTGAACTCCACTCAATTAAGTGAGGCCATGGTAATGTCTAAAAACTTATCCTTAGTGGGTACATCCAGAAGACGTCTTGAGAGAACTTGAACAAATGGGTGACCGGAAGAAACCAGGGTAATCATGCTGGGTTTTTTTTTAGAACATCCAAACAGAGAAATAAGTGGCGAACCATGACTGCTCTTTTTTTTCATTATATTCAGATCTTGCACTTTAAGAAAGTGTTCTTAACTGTTGGGACAATCAGTCTGTGAATTATCAGGTCATGTGATTGTGATATGGTTGTCGTTGAGAGATCACTATATTTTTTTAAAGTGAGACTTGCCAGTTGTCCTTCACTACTTGAGTACCAGGCCACTGCCTTATTCCCAGGGGCCTTCTGAAAGAATCCCAGTTTGAAATTTACAGAATCAATTTATGTTTCAAGCACGCAAAAAAAAAAAGAGGTGACTCTGAATACTTATTGTCATACTGCCTTTTTTTAATCTCCCTGAATCAGCAAGATAGCAACGCTTTGAAGGAGTAATCTCAAAACTTGAAAGTGGAGCTTTGACAAGTTGAAAATTCACTTGTTCAAAATGACACCAAATTTGCACTGTACAAGTGGAAAGGGAAAACTGCTAGGCTTGTTGAGAAGGAAGGTGTGAGTTGAACAAAAAGAAAACACAATTGTAGCAATTGGTCACAGTCAGGTCAGTCTGCGCTGCTCTGTTTATATTCATTTGTGTAGTAGCGTATGATGTGTTGCTTTGTTAATTGCCATGATGAAAATCAAATTTCATGAGAAAATACAAACTAGATTCTACTGGTGCTTTCATTTTGTCTAAATACTATTGATAGCAGGAATTCGAATTCTGGGTTGTACAGTATGTTAAGTAATGAGTTTGTCCAAAGTCTGGTCGAAATGACTTATTGGGATCAAACACTTGCTTTCTGGTGTTGGTATACTGCACCTTAGCCAAGATAAGCACAAGGCTTTCTCTTTCCAAAGTTTGATAGACAATAACAGTTGCAAACTAGGTAAGTCTGAATAAGATCAAGTTTTATTTTTGCCTGAAAAGATCACTTGGAAACCCTCTTGCATTATGTTTTAATGTTTTGCAAGTTTGCACAGTGAAGACTGAAATAAAACACTGATGCCAAAGGTGTATACAGGTATCTGTTTTATGGCACCCTTAACACTTGCATACAGTTTTCTTTAAAAGGAGAAATATCAGACTTACTTGGTTTGTCATCATTGCTACCCTCGACATACTGTTATCACTTCACTGGAGGCTTTTGTACTTGAACAAACAATATACATGTAGTACAACGTGAGCTTAAGACGTGTATATTCATAGTAACAAACAATTGGCAAGTTCCATTACTATAACGTCTTCAAGACTGTGATTATGAATTTCTATAATTTTTGAGTTAACACAATATGTTTTCCTTAGTTTTTCTAACTTAAAAGTGTTGAGAAAGAAATTCTGACAGGAAAGATGATAGAATGTGTGATAAATTTTTGCAGTGCCTTTTAACTTTGCGTGCTATGGTCATCAGCAACTGTTGAAAATTAATTATGTTCATGCTGTGTCTTCTAAATGGAAGTCATAACAAGTATATTTTCTCAAATTGTGTGTACTGGATACCATTCTTTTCTGTTTTTAAGAAAGTTACTTTGCACTGTCAATTTTATTTTATTTGGTGGTACTCATTTTATTTGACCACATTTTGAGATTTAAGTTTTGATCGTCTTCAGGATAAAGACGATAATTGCCTTATAACATGTTTTGTGTTCTTTAGCTTTATTTTGGCTTCCAAGTGATGTTGCATCTGTTTGGGAAAGGTTTGAACGTGAACAATGAGAAATATTAATTGATTTTTTTTTTCCTTTCTTTTTTGTTATTATTGTGGTGAAGGTTTTTTGTATTGATTGTTGGATCCAGTTGATTGTATGTCTTTCCACTTCTTCTGAAGAGGTTTTGTATCGACATTTCTTAAAGTTAAGATCAATTATTTGTGATACTGAATCAGTGATAAGCTGTTAGGGTAAGTGATCCAGTAGTCATCATTTTTGTAGTACAAATTCTGACTTGTAAAATATTTTGCTGAATATCCTGAGTTTTTTGGGGTTTTTTTAAACTTTTATATTTAAAAAACTACAGTTGATATTAGAAAATTGATATTTGCTCGGACATCAAAAATTGCACCATATTATGATAAGTTTGCACTTTCTTCAGTAGCACAAATCACTTAAGGCACTCTAGACTTGCCAAGAGAAAATTATGCTTTATATATATCATCTTACAAGTTAATCTTCTGATCAAAATCTTTTATGACTTTATGTATTTGTCTTGTTTTTGTATAGATTTATTCAAGCATTACTTTTTAGCTGCATTTTTTATATCATATTTGGATCAAAGTTTAATGAGGAACATTTTGAGATGTTTCTGCATGATGATTTACATGAAATAAAGTGAAAATAATTATAAACAGCACAGATAGCATATGTGTCTATATAGCTTGACACCCAGTGAGATAAATGAAATGTTTCATGTGAATTGTCTTCCTGTCGTGCCAATGTTGAACATTTCATTCATTTTAGGCCTATAATTTCTGAATGGGAAGATCTCTTTATTTGTAGTAGTGCTGGTTAAAAGGTTCATTAAACAAGTTGATTGAAGTTATTGGACTGCAAAGCTAGTATTTGTTTCATTCTTATGAATTTGATGTATTCCATAATTCACTCAGTATGCCATGACATGCAAATGCTTTGATAAAAACTCCATTGCAAAATACTTTATAAAAAATGCATCCATTGTTATAAAATAGATTATTTCCGTAAAATTTAGAAATCAAAACATGCCTTTAATAAATAATGAAAAATGACGTGATATAGGTGTTTTATGAACAGTTTTTAGAATCAAAGCAAACAGCAGAAAGTCTTTGAAGATATTGTGATTTATTGTAGAATGTGTTCATTCTGTGATATTCATTTCATGATATCATTTTCGTTTATGTGGTTTTATTTTCCCAATTTGTCCTTCGATGTTAGATATGACAACAAGCCAAGTTACTTTGGCACATAAGTGTAGGCTCCAGAACAGCTGTCTGTGAGTGGGTTACAGGTGGAGCTGCTTAGCATTAATCTGTTCTTTTATCTTTTAAATAAAATCTGTAACTACTGGAAAGATTAACTTTGTAATGTTGAACCCATCACGTTTGAACTGAATGTAAAGAATGTATTTGAGAAAGTCATCATATATTAACTAAAGAGATGTATTATTTTCAGAACGAATTTGACGAATGTGTGGTAAATTGTATGTGACATACATATCATGTCTGCATTTTATCAGAGTCCCCGTTGTTGCTATTTAAATGTGTTGTTTGTTTTCACTATAGAGACAAATCTCATGACTTCCAAGATATGGGTTAATTCTCATGTTTTCATAATTGTATGAGCGAGAAACGGGGAGAGTGAGAGAGAGAGGAGGAGGAACAGAAGAAGAATTTTTTTTTCATATTACAACAAAGCCAGATTATTAAATCACCAACTGTTCCTTTATTTGCCTTGAAAAAGGGGGAGTTTATTGATACTCCTTGTTTTCCTTTAACTTATTACTATGATTTTTTTTGTTTTTACAAAAAGAAGAATGACCTTGAGCAGAAGGATTGCTTGTCAAAACTCTAAGAAGAGGTCCACCTTTCAGCAGTGTTGTACTTAGTTAACTTTTAAGACCAAGACATCAAGTTCCAGGAGTGTGTGTATAAAAAATAGCACGCATGGCAAGTACTGTTGTTTCTCTTCCTCTGCTTGAACAAGTGTGTTTGGTTGTTGAGATGCGGCAGGTGGGAACACATGTTTCACTGCACGCGTGCACAGACACACACACACTCACACACACACATTCAAATAACCCACGACCCAGACCCTGACTGCCATACCCTTGACTCCAAGATATATCTGTGCAGAATCCTCATGGGAATAAAATATTTAGTGAAAAAATATTGGAAACAGTCCTAAAATAAAGCATAATGTATATATGAAAATTCTAAATCCAAGCTTTATAGATTGTATTGCTGTATTCATATAATATCAAATCTAAAGACTTTAGTCGAAAGCAATTTCTAAGTTTAGTGTAAAAGTTTGAAGCATGCGTATGGCATCGGTAGCCTTGTGGTTTGGCTGCTTGACGAGCAATTGTAAAGTCGCTGGTTCTAATCCAGGTCCAGATTGAATGTCGAGTCCTTTGGAAAAACACTTTTTACAGTTTCCCACACTTCTCTCATGTCAGAGCGGGCACCTGCTAAAGACAGTGATAGTGATAGATCCTGTCAGCATGTCAATTGGCAGCTTGCACAGAATGATTTAGAATGTTTTATTGTAAAGCCCATGAGGCCAACTTTTGAGCAGGGATGTGTGCTTTATAAATGCAATTATTGCATGTATTATTGTTATTTTTATTATTCTTGTTTGCTGCTGACTAAAGATACCACATGGTTTAGAAGTTATGTTGTGTTATCACTCATTGACCTTACTTTATACAAACCACCTTTTTTTAAAAAATTAACGAATGTTTTACGCCCCGACAAGCACAAAGTTGGATCATTTAGGAGGCGGACTTCATACCTGCCTGTGAGAGCCAATCAGGGCTGAATTGGATACCACATCCCAGCAGAAAGACCAAGATACATTTGAACTCGATAAGAATTCTCCCCGTACAGGAATCAAACTCAGGTCTTCTGCATATAATGACAGAGAACCTTATCACTACATCAAAGATGCCGGTCCTTTCAACAAATATGTTTATGGTGTGTGAATGGGCTAGTTTTGAACAAAGGGACCCCTTGTATTGGGATTGAAATATTGTTGTTATGCTTCTGCAGATTTTTTTTTCATTTTCTTCATGTATCAGATCTATTAAAAAATCTACACCTGTTTTACATGAAAAAATATTTCTTTACTTTTACTTTTTTCATGTATATCACCACTTGTGTGGGAGCAAATAATTTCCATGTTTTTAAAAAATAATTTTTTCACGATTGTGGTACTTAAATGCATTAAGTAGCAAAAAGTACCCGCTAGCACCATTTTCTTCTAACGTTGTAGTATACACTTTTCCCTTGACACTTTTCAGTCCATAGTTTATGTAAGTTTCTTCTTGTCATACCTGGCTATGGTATACATGTATTCTTTTAAAGCATATTTACTCTTCCGTATGATATTCAGAACTGGATGAACATGATTTATAATAATGTGTGTCTGAGACTCTCAATCTTCTTTACCTCTTTTTTTCAACTCAGAATTTATCTGTATGAGATGTTTTTGTAACTTTTTTCTCTGTTGTCTGATTTTTTATTCTCGTTAGGTTTATATTAGGTTGCTCATCTGCAGGGGTACGTGTATCTCCCCGTTTAAATTCAGTATTTTTAGACTGGAAATTCACATCATTGTTCTGTTTGTGATATGATTTTTCCTTTCTTTCTAACCAAGTCCCGATCTCAGGCGGTGTTGCTTCTTTTCTCTTTCTCTTTAATCTCAATTCCTGTCAAATGTCCCATAGTGTTTTTGAGTGTTCAGGCTGCCACTGTTTAAACAAAGGCGTTTGTGGTGTAGATATTTAGGGCTTCACTGTCTCATGCAGGTGGCTTGAATTTGATTCCCATGTGGGGAGAATTTTTATAGAGTATTTCAGTCTTTCTACTGGGAATACTGGGATTTTGTATCCTGACGACAGGCCTGGTCGAAGCCTTCCTGCTAAATTATCTAAATTCTTTTGAAAATATTCCTTTACGAAGCCATGTGATTCTCCTTGTTAGTTTTTGTTTAAAACCTATCAACCCAGTGACTGATCGTTTTACAGGTAGAGTACTTGGTTCTGTAGTGAGGGTATTGGAAATAGCAGGAAAAGGAAAAACTATAGAGGCTATACAACAAGAAAATACCTGAGATCTATGCATACTCTCAGTGCACATGTTCATATGCGATATTTTCCAGAAACTTAAAATGGAATGCTGCTGATTTTTAGACACTGTCAGAACTGTGTGATGAATTGACCAGCTGGTCTAAAAAAGTGTCCTGTGTCGAGAGAGTGCCATCTCTGAAGATGTTGATGTTTTCCTGCTTAGTGTTTTCAGTTATTCTGGTTCCTATCCTTAAATTCGTGTTCGTTTTATCACCTCTCTTTCTTGATCAGATATATCATTTATTCTGAAATAGATGTGGATCTTGTATTATTGTGTTTGAAGACAGAAAATAGATTTGAAATACTAAGTACAAGTACAAGCAAAATGTATTTTTCTATGCACTTTATTTCCATTTGCACTGTCTATGCAAAATAATGTTATTGTGATTAAACCTATTATAGATATTATCTGTTCAGTTAATGCTCTCTCTCTCTCTCTCTCTCTCTCTCTCTCTCTCTCTCTCTCTCTCTCTCTCTCTCTCTCTAATTTGTGCTCAACAGTCTAGTTAATGAAGGGGCCGGCTATCATGGCTACTTGTGATTTTAGTTTTTCTATTTTTAGTTAGTTTGTTTCAATACCTTGGAGGGGTTTAATACCAAGCTTTACGATGCCCAGCATTGAGTACATTCTGTCTTTCGTGCGTTTATAACCAGATTCTGTCTTTGATTGGAAGGAATTGGAAGCTTTTAAAGGCCTGTTAAAGAGTGCTGGAAAAAAACATGTTAAACTGTGACACGATAAACACTCATGCTAAATGTGATACAGCCAAACAGATTATTTATTCCTTTCTGAGGACCTCAAATTCCTCAGTCTCTTCCATTTCTTTGGTGATGTGTTCTTTTTTCCTGTTTGTCAGATTTCTGCCTACCTGTGTGGTCACTTTAAAATAATAATTTTGCTCTTGATTTATTTTAATCCTCAGGCTTTTTTGTTGGCTGATATTCCCTCTTTATGCAAAGTTCTGCTTTTGATTCTGTTTTCTTTTATACCTTTCTTTGGTGGACAAGGGTACCACAAGTACTGTAAGTCTGTTAATTTCATATTTTAATCACCCATTTTCACTCAGCCAGCCAAACTGAAATCTTGGTCAGATTTTAAATGCGGCAAATGGGGAAATTAATTATGTTACAATTGTATGAGGTGATAGCAATGTTGAAAAGGTTAATGCCTGAGAAATGTTGACCACTTTGTTAAGGGGATCCACTGGTCAGATCAGTAAAAATTTTGAAAAAATATCAGTTTTCGGATTTTGGTGTATCTTAATAGATATCAATATCAAGGACTCATCTTTAGAAGCCTAATTCCTCTATCAAACTTATAAATAGCTGGAAAATGCATTTAAGAGAGGCAGCAATGTAGGAAAATCTTCACCAAAAATTATCTCTCTTTGCAGTTTTCTCAGAATTGTTTATCTGACCAGGTAGCAACACTATATTGAGTAGATCTCAGAAAGTTACTGTCAGAATTGTTTCAAATTTGGACACAATCTTTTATACACATTACTCTATAACTTTACAGGAGCATTTTTGCTGTTTATGGAACACATTTGGAGTTTTAGGCCTGTTTTATTTGACAAAATCTTAAAACATTGGAGACCTGAATGTGGTGCACAGCAAGGACTGTAAGGCTCACAAGTCAGTACAGAACATTCACATTTGGCTCTGTAAGGTTGTTCTACCTACCAACAGTAATCGCCATGCCAAATATTAGGCTTCTATCTTGATGAGTGTTGATGATTGACAAAATATAAAATTGGTTTTAAAAATGCTGAATCAATCCTTTATTTTTGATGGCTCGAGATTATTATGGCAGAAATCTTGAATTTTTTGCTTGGTAACCTTTTTTTGTACTATGTCACCGCCTTTGATGCAGAAAAGCAAGCGTTAGACCAAAAACTATAGCATTTGGGTGTTGACCATAGCTACACCCCTTTAAAGAGAACATGTTGGCGTTTACTTTTTACACTGGGAGTCTTTCCAAAAACCTTTCAAAACTATGAAAATGCTTATTGAGATCAGGAAAAGAAATGTTTTATTTCTCTCTACAATTTCATGTCTTTTCTGCTAAGCTCAGTTTGGCTGGGTGTACAATACACAGTCATGTGGATTCAATATCAATGTATGAGGGTGTTGTGTATGGGAATGTTATGACAATGTATACATAGAGAAAAAAAAAGGTTTATTTTCTGAATTAAATGAAGCTACATTATGAGTATTTTTGTTCCTTGATTTGTCTGTAGAAGAAATATTACATTGGGTGCACCTAGCACTTTTGAGAATTCCCTCTGGGAACTAAAAAATAGGGGCAGAACTTGTTACAAACTGATGGAATTGTAAAATAAACTGCTGTATATGTGTATACTACTGTCAGTGTCCTTCCGCAATTGCCCAAATCAATTTCTGAGGGTTTCCAGATAAGCTTTTTATTCTTTAAATAAGACATCAAGAGACATCTTACAATATATAGTTTCTTTATTTCTTGCCCAGTTTTTCATTGAAAAATAATGAGTGCCCAAGTCACAATTCGGATGTGGCTGCTCTATTTTTCTTTCATTAAAAATATTCACCGGATACAGCACCCATTAACTTTTTTTGTTTCCAAATTTGAAAAAAGTTCTTACTGTACAGTGTTTCTAGAGTAATGAAGATACCATATCTGCAGTGCAGAAATGGTTTAAGTCCCATCATAGATCATATTAATATTATGCTCCGGAACTTTTGATGGTCAAAGACAGCAAAAGTGTGTCAATTTGGAGGGCGACTATGTAGAGAGGTCGCATTTTTAGTGCTAAATTTCAACTTTCTAGCTTACTTTTTTCATAGGGTAATGACTTGTTGAGCATCCCTCGTAATATTTGCAAAATGTAAAGGTTTCTCGGAGTTAATTGATTCTATACTATCAACTCAATATTAACATGAAATATGACATCGTCGTTTAAATTAATGCAGCAACATCAGCTTCACAGAGCAATAAGAAAAGGATGAGAGGAGGAGGGCGAATCCACTTTGTCACTTCTGGCCCTTCCCCATTCGCCTCCTTTTCCTCAAATTTTTTTTTAGTTGGCGAAAGGGGGTGAAAGGCCGCTCCACTGTGTTTGTACCTTTAGGAGGTGAGCAGCTTCAACCTGCCTGTCGGTCAACCCGCACTGAGAGGAATAGTGTCCATGCAGACAGTTACTCAGGGGGCTCTCATGGTCATGAGGTTATGGTGTTCGCCTCTCATTCAATAGGTCACGAGTTCGAATCTGGATAGCAACGGAAAATTTTCTCCTTTCACCTCATTTTCTGCTCTCTAACAATGTTCTGTCGTCTGCTTGCGTCTCCACTTTCAGCTCCCTCTCCTCACACCTCTTTGACCCTCCTCTCGGCTCCCAACTCTTTCTGTTTTTGTTTTGGTAAGTGTTTTACGGCGCTCGCAACTGCATAAGGTCATATGAGCGCGTGGGACACATTAAACTTTTTCAGTTTGTAGGAAATTTTGAATTTTGCCCGGATGGCAGCCGATTTTAATTAAATAGACCACCAAGGGATCTTTAACGTGCTCAACTTGCACATGGGATCCCCGAGATTTTTCGCCATTGTCAGAGAAGGCTAGGTGTAGATCTTTCTTACCAGAAGATCAGGGGTGTGGCTGAAAGACAGCAGTAAGAAAGCCGAGGAGTAGCAGCAGAAAGGTGGCAGAAAGTCAGGAGCCCAGACGAGGGGGCAAAGGGGTGAGGGGATGGGGGCAGAAAGTGAAGATGAAAGCAGAACATTGCTAGGGAGAAGAAAAGGATGTGAAAGGAGACAATTTTGGAGAAGAAAATGGTTTTGATGGCTACCCGGATTCAAACCTGGGACCTTTGAAAGAAGAGGCGAACACCTTAACCTCTAGGCTACGAGAGCCCCCTTACTCTTTCTACAGCTACGTCAGAGCTACTCCATGGCTCCTTACTGCTGTCTTTCAGCCACACCCCTCTTATGATACATGTAGTTAAAATCTAATACTAACCTTCTCAGATAAGGGTGAAAAATCTTGGAGGTCCTGTGTGCAAGTTGCGCACGTTAAAGATCCCTTGGTGCTCCAAAATCAAAAAGATTAAAAAGAGTAGGCTTCGGCCGCCACATGTGGCAAAATTCAATATTTCCTACCAACTTAACATGTTTAATGTGCCCCATGCGCTCATAAAACCGTATGCAATTGCGAGCGCCGTGAAACACTTATGAAAAAATAAGATAGTTACTCAGTTTTTTAAAATTCTTCCCATATTGATATTAGAATCAAATCCATGTTTTCTGCATACAACAGCGAAGCACCAACCATAAAAGAAATCGGAGTGCCTCATGGACAAGATTTTACTTTATTTTTAGTAAGAGTTTGAAGGCACTTGTGACACAATATAAGTAGGTCATATTAGTGCCGAAGATTAGAGGTTTTACAAGAGAGTAACAAAAACAGTTTAGTTTTAGTAAATGTTTTACGGCACTGGCAACACAATAAGGTCATGTAAGAGTTGAAGATTAGAGGTGTTAAAAGAGAGTAACAAACACAAAAAAGGAGGAGGCTAAGGATGATAAATAGAAGTTTGATAGGAAAGGAGCAAACCACACCAGAGCACCAGCCAACCACCCATGTAACAAAAACACAACAAAAAGGAAGAGAGATAAGGGTGACAGATGTTTGACAGGAAAGGAGCGAACCACACCAGAGCACATCCACCCCCCCCCCCCCCCCCCTCCCAATCACACACTTGAACAAAATTGAATAAGACTAAGATAAAGCGTCCAAATGTAGATCTATTTCTTCATCTTACAGTTGTTTCTTCAGTTTGCACAATATATGTCAGGGTAATGTTGAAAAGTTACATAGAAATAAATCAACAATGCATCAATATTTCTTTTATATGAGCTTTTGTCTGAACAATGGCATGCAAGGACAAGGTTACAGTTAACACGAGACAACGCTCCACACATCAGATCATGTGCACGCAGTTCCCACACTCTTCATAAAAGCATCACTAGACAAACCGATCCCTGTAAATTCATTGCAAGAAAAGGACAAAGCATTACTGTTTTTCCCATTTCTAGCACCTGCTGCCAAATATAATGTCTTAATTAATATTATTTTACTTATCAGTGCAGTTACAATATTGTCCATCACTGTGGTTTGTATGCTTGAAAAATAGAGCATGATTGTAGAAGAGCAAAATCTACACATTAACTTCACAAAGTACTTAATATTCTTTTCTGTAAATCACAATGTTGAGAGCCAGCATTATAGCCACAGTATTAAATTCATAGATTTTTATGACAGCATTTTTTTCCTTACAGTTTTTACAGA